CTCTTGGGGTGAGGTGATGGCAGATATAATGTACATGTATAGTATTAGAACATCACACCCCTCTTGGGGTGAGGTGATGGCAGATATAATGTACATGTATAATAATAGAACCTTACACCGCTCTTTGGGTGAGGTGATGGCAGATATAATGTACATGTATAGTATTAGAACCTTACAGCCCTCTTTGGGTGAGGTGAGTTTATTTTGAATCCAAGAGGCAAAATTTTTAAATTGTCCAAAGCCAAAGGCTTGCAGAGTGTTTGACAATTTACCATAGGAATCTTACTATGAGGCTAGGGTTGAGATTTGCCCATCTTGCCCCAAAGGGGATTTATTTACCACAAAGTTGGGAAATTATTATTTTTTTCCGAGTCCTAACAAATCATTGTTTCATTAAAAAAATATGCTTTGTATGCCAAGCATCTTATGATGCTATAATATAAAGTCATCTGATTGTAAAAAAGTGATATTACTCACTGATATGATTTACTTGTGATGTCATTCAAACATAAAGGGTGTCTCACACTTGGAACTGACAAGGAAATTCTGCGCTAGGACAAGTCATGGATATGTTTGTCCAGGTTAAGGGAAATAATATATGTTCTTTTTTCAATATCGGAGCATAAATAGACAAATTGTTTACTGAATAAACAAAGCATATTGCCATTATATCATCTCAAACAAAATGGTGCTTAGCTATTTAATATAATGTCATAATTTAGGTACTTGCAGCATTATGACATCACAATAAATTCTTGTTCTTTGTTTTCAACTTTCACAGAGACAGGGACCAAAGGATCTGGCTGGTTAATGCAGTCATTGATAGTAGACATTCATAATGTTATAACGATTTGAAATATTGCATTTACTTGACAAAAGATATGAAATTATCAGTATTAAGGGTTAAAATAATCACATTGTACAACTAACTGTGTATATATATGATTAAAAAGTCAGTAAGTTGATTGTAGAAGTTAAAAAACGCTCCAAAGACAGAGCTTCAACAAGTATTTTTATAGCAAGATTGGTGAACCAACACCAGTTTTAAAAGAACACAGCAGTCAGATAAAATATGGCTGACATACTATGACTTATAATTAGTTATGAAGAAAAATGAACTGATCCAACTAAATATGAATGCTGGTATAGACAAGGATCTGGATTAGACAGGGATCTGGATTAGACAGGGACATATTTAGACAGGTTACATGTATACAGTATTTCACTTGTACTATGTAATAAGCTAAAATTGTATAGAATTAAGGATTGGTTGTCATATTTTTGACATGAATTGGTGTGTAATATACATTGGCTTATATAATTACCTACATATTGAATGGTGCACGCTAGCGCGCCATGTTAAATATGTAGGTAAGCCAATGTATGTTACACACCAATGAATGTCAAAAATATGACAACCAATACTTATATTTACATTTTATGTTAATCAACTTACAGTTCACACAGAAATAAAGACATAATATTAGTCTGAACATGTTTCAACGTCAGGGTAAATCCATACAGAGAACAGCCACCAGTTGACAATGGAGCAGTGCAATCTCCAACGTTACAGTTATGATGTCACAAGCATAGCGATGTCACAATGGCCTAATGTATGTTATACGGAAATAACATACATTGGGCCCGGTAGAAACATCTAGGCTCTGTGCAGTGGAAATGTAAATATTGTACAATATACCTAAGTTTATGTGTGATATATGTGTAAGTTACTGTTGACAAAATTTTGTTTTTATTTATTAAGTCTTCAGGTTATTTCCCTTGTCATGTGTATTAGGTTGAGACATTCCTGGTTTGTTTGTATGCTAGTTATTTAAGAACAGAACACAATGTTTATGTGTGTATCACCAGAAACTAAAGGACACTGTTAACATGTTACTGATTTTTGAATGTCTTGTATTTTTCAGTCTCCAAAAGTGATCTGGTCATGGGCTATTCCTAAAAAGTAGGTATGACAAGTTTAGCAGAAAATGTATTGTTCCCTTGGAATCTTGATTTTGCTCTGTACATGTATTTTTGTAACAAATGAAATGAAAGCCATTGTACTTTATGTGGTTTTATCTAACATGCTTAATAACATTAAGACCCCTGTTCAACAAGCTAGTAATAACTCAAATTTTCAATATTAAGTATTTTCAAAGTCATTGAAATCAACAATGAAATTAGCATATGACAGAATTTGTCATCAGAAGATCGGTAATTCCAAAATTTTCAATTTAGTTACATAAAACATCTGAAAGAAATTGAGTCAACAGGCTCTTTCAGCTGGCTTGCACCAGATTCAAGAGACCTATCTTAAAATAAAACTAATAACTCTTGATAACATTTTACTAATTCTTAATAACATTTTAATTTATTTAACATTCAAAGGCAATGGTACCTATATTAGTTTACTCCTAACAGGCATTGTTATTACATGATAGATCCTAGTACATGTTTTGATCTGTTCCAGGGGACCCTTCTATCAAACAGAGGTCAACACCATTGTCATAGACAAACAGGTAGGATATCTTGTAGATTAAAGACATTAAAATGTTACTCTATTTTTTGAGGAAAAAAAATTGTGTAATAAATTGGAAGTGTCTTTGCTGAATTTCACTGTTATCTATAGTGAGAAAACCTATTGAACAAAGGTTGAATTGGGTTTTATCAATCTGATTCAAGTAAAACCCTTCAGTCTGTTCCACTACAACCTAAGACGTGACAACAGAGTTTTGAGGGAGTTAATAATGCTAATGTTCTATTGGAAACAGTTTGGTTTGCTGTGATGTCAGATTCCACATTGTAGTGAACTACTGTAGAGAGTAGAGAGAAGGACCTTACATGAATAAGGTTATTGTTCAGGGTTTTTTTTCCTTTTTAAAAGTCATATGACAATATGTTCACTCAAGGGTAGCTTTTATGTACAAGTATCAATGTTCACCAAAATGTTGAATACAGTAGTGCAACACTCCACCAGGTCTCATGAACCTTATATTAGAGGCTAATCAAATGTACTTAAATTCAATATCATTTAAGGCATTAAGTTTCCATAGCATCATGACACATTCATATACATACTATATGGAGGTGTTTTGTCAATGATATTTGGGACATGGATATATGTGTGTGCTTTTTTATACGACTCCCTAAACATTTGATGTTATTAAACTTCAGTAATGGGAATCAATAACATTTTAAAATCATTGTTGGGACTCGCCTAAATAAAATCCACAAAAACCGCTTTGTTTTCACTGTTTACAGGAAACACAATGCCGACTATATGCTGGTTGTGGGGACAACAATGTGTATGTTTGGGACCTGGAGACCGGGGAACAACTGGTAAGTGATGTCAAGGTCATAGGTCAGTTATCATCTAGGTCAAGGTTACCTGACTTGAAAACCTCCAGATTGAAAATACTGAAAACCAACAGGAGCTCATCATTAATTGATTTAATTGAACTTGCAGACCGATTCTAATATCTTTTGGAAGTCGAGAAGAATCTTTTCAGGAAAATTGAAGAACTTAAAAACCCTTATGTAATACAGTAGTGCATTTTGATGGTCTGGTTATAAAATGTGAAAAATCTACAAGATGCTGTACAGTACATCTTAATTCCTTACTACATTGTATGTTAGTTAGAAATCATCGCAGCCTTATAATACATGAAAACACATCAGATGCATGCGCATCTAATGGTGATATTATTTAACATTTCATCAATAATCATTTTTTAGTTATAGTCTAATAATTCCGAACAACTTTGTAGACAAATTGAATAAGAGAAGTTTGTTCATTGTGAAATTTTTCTCAAATCCTGTTTAGAATCACACACATGGTTACTATTCATATTATATTTTCATTTATTTTGACATCAAATTGATATCTAAATTTCACATGCGTTACTGGAGGTATGTTTTCATTAAATGGGCAAGCCAACTGCCAGTATCAGCAAGCTGTCTTAACGTTATAATTTTGATGTCACAATTGTAATGATATCAGGATCATCACTCCAGGTTTATGATCTCGTAACTCACAGCTCATTTTCGTATGTTTATGAAGTGGCAATGCAGAACAATTCTTAATATTTTACATTGCAGGTCACTTTGTCTGGACATGATAATTACATTCACAGTGTGTCCCTGAAAAATAAAGGTCAGATGTGTGCTACAGCATCAGAGGATGGCACAGTCAAACTTTGGGGTGAGTTCTGTATAACAACATCAGTCAATACTTCTTCCTAATACTTTCTCATACAAATCAAAGTAATTGTTCCAGTTCTGATTCTTTAATCCAAATAAGAACTTATAAACATTCTTATCATCTGTCAATTATGTCAGTGTTTGAAAAGTCAGGTGGCCAAGTGATTAAAGTGTGACCATCTACCATCACTAGCTCTCTACCACTGGGTCGTTGGTTTAAGGCTAATTACCTGGGGCAGTCTCCAGGCACTGGCCGCAGGTTGAAAAGTCAAATGTGTGTAGTGCAATTTGTTTTTTAGTTCCAATAAATGTACTGTACCTCAATCACCCCTGAAGACACATTTGAACTCTTCTTATTCAACAGTTGGAATAGTTCATTATGAAATTTCAGGGGTGAATGGGTTAAACTATAATGTATGTATTTGTATCAACATTGGCTTGGAATTGAATTATAATTGCTTATTGAAGCTTGGTTGTTTTCCTTCAGACATGAGGCACCCATCAGCAGCAGAACACACACTAGAACCATACAAAAACCAGGTAAGTGTTGTTCTACACTCAACTATTTCTAAATGATTGCAGTACCAGCTGCATGATCGTTATGTTCAATCTTTGTGAATTTATCTGTTATTTTATGTAAGATTTTGTAACCTGTGTGTTAAAAACTTGAATAACTTCTTCTGAAGAATTGGAAGGCTAAGAGACAGCCAGTAACCTACTGGGCTTGAATGTTGTCCGATATCTTCAAACAAATACTGTCAGATGATCACACGTGTGGCATTACCTAATATACTGTATACAGGGAAACTTTCACCGCAGTTTAACTTTCGCCCCTTTCGCCTTCCGATCTGAGGGCGAATTTAACATGACGGCGCAAGTTGAAAAAATATATGTATACGACGGCACATGTTTTGTCACTTTTGTCTACACTGAGCTTAACTTAGGAACCGTATGTGATGCAATTGGGGTCCAGTGTGTGTGATGCAACCTTATGTTTCATAATAAAGGATTTACAATTTGTTTTATTTTTTAATTATTTAATGTTTCAAAAACACATCATTTAGTTAAAATATTTACATGAATGATAAGTGTTCGTCAGAGAGGCGGCAACAGGGAATTTTCACTGATGTAGAGCGAATTTAACACTGGGAGAATAAGGACTCTGTCGGTGAAGGGCGAAAGTTGAACGGGGTGAAAGTTTTCCGGTATACAGTAACCTTAACCCACTTTAAGTTTCCTTAGAACCAATTTTCTACATGAAAAAATAAATAAAGAGTTAAGCAGTAGAGGCCTGGGGGCTCCTTATTTGAATGTTTTGTGTATAAAACATTGTGTCTTCTACATGACCCTACTTCAATGTTTACCTTTAAGACAATTTCTCCAAACTTTGTCACCACTGAAGGTTTATGTTGATTTCTCCGATGTTTATGTCTGTGTTTTCCCATGTTTTAGTTATGTGCCCGACCTGAGTTTGGAAGGTGGCTGGGATGTGTAGCTATGGAGACGGGTGATGACTGGTTGGTGAGTCGATGGCTAATTTAGAATTTCTGTGTGTGGACTCGCCGTCTTTTTCAAAGTTGATCATGTCAGAGAGAAAAATGGGTTGATTCTTGTATGTGTAAAACCACAGTATTTTATTTTTCTATCTCAAGAGAAGTTAATGAACAGGAAATGTTAAAACCATACACTATTTATTAGAATGTATAATGTCTTGCCAACTTCTTTATTTTGGTTTTTGGCCACCAGATATTTCCATTTTAGATAAAAAGAATAATATATGAATTTTAGCATTATCGCATTCTATTTTAGAAAAAAAACTATTTTATATATTTAGAACAAATTGTTAACATACAATTTTTCAGTTTAGTAAAAACTGTACGTGCAACCAGTTTTATGGTTGCAATAAAAAAAATGTATCACACTTGAATTATTCTAGATACAAAGTATGTAAATTTAAAAATACGAGAAAACATTCTGCCTTTGATGAGCTATCACCAAACCATTTAATGTGTTATCTGCTTGTTTACAGGTGTGTGGAGGCGGTCCAAAGATGTCGTTATGGCACCTACGATCATTAGAGGCCACCACTGTGTTTGATACTCCAGCTGTATGTCAGAAGACGGTCATGTTCTACGAGGATACGGTATGAGCTGTTTCAGATACTTTCACAAGAACCACCCTTAATGATATATTCTCAGTAATATTCTAGTGGAATGAGGTTATTACCTAGCAATAGAGCAGTTATAAACTAACGATGCTTAAATTATTTTTAGTGAGGTCAAAAAATGTTATAACTCCTGCACAATGTTTATCTGTATGTGAAGTTTACAAGTCAATTGTGCACTTAGATACTTAGGAAATACAGATTGGAGGTCTTTATTTAATCTGTCACTATTCTTTATTATGATGAACTGACAAACACTATTATCTTCTGATATATCTTCAAGGTTTTTCTGCTTTAAATAAGTTAGCTTTCACACAAGTAACTAGAGGAATTTTACTAACTTTGAATTCAGGGCTTGAATTGTTTGTAAAGTAAACTTTAATGTAATATCTTTACTCCAAATTTGATGTAGATGTTATCATATCTTTTACATTGATCTTTGAATTCTAGCTTTCTATTTAATATTTAAGTTTTCTCACTTAATTAGATATGAATATGCTGATGTAGATGTTATTATTTCTCTATATAACAGCAATCCTTTAATCCTTTGCAGTTGTTCTTGTTGTTTAATAAATGCTTACTTTGAATGATTGGAAAATGGTTTAATTTAATTAGAATATAAGATCTGTGAGATTTGTAGAAGGAAGAAGATATTCATTCTTTTTCACCTCCTGAACGTTTTCCAGATTATTTCCGCGGGAGGTGAGCCATACGTTAATCATTGGTACGTCAATGGTGACCAGAAGTCTCGGATACCTTGTACTCCTACCAATGTCTTCAGTGTTGTTGTCAACACTGCCCTCAATAGTCATAAGGTATGTATGGGGAAATCCACTGCCCTTGGTAATTCTCTAATTGTAAGATACTGGGTAGTTTCAATGCCCATGTATGAACAATCAAACCCCTCTTATAGTTGTGAGGAATGACAAATGATTAAATATGGTTTGGGTTTCCCCCCCNAATAAGTGCATGCCTGAACAAACTTAATTTCAAAGGAGTATGTGTAGGCACAGATAATACATCATTAAGAGAAATATAAGGCGTGTTCAATAATGTGCTCTATTGTTACTGAGGGATAAAACTATTCAAAAAACGTTTTAAAAATGGATGGAATATACACTGGCTATCATGGCAACAATAATTGCAATTGGATATTTTCGTTATACTTTAACAGTGTATTGAAGGCTATTAAAGATTGTTTTGAACACAAACAGGAAATGCAAACTGGTCAATAACAGTGTATGATGTATTTAAAAACTACACTGTTACTTTGTAGGTGCTTTGTACTGCTGGGAACAGACCTAAGATTGATGTCTGCACAAACTTCGGATACAAGGCATTCTCATTAACATTCAGCTGATCTTTCACAGAAATCATTAAAACATGAAACATTCAGTCCTACATGTATATTTGTTTATGTTATTGTTGGTAGGTATCAGTGCATGTTGTCACTTCAGCTTAACAAACCAATCTAAATAAGACTAGTAATTCCGATGGAGTGTGTCGTAGGGGAGCGGAATTACAAGTCCGGTTTTAATCGGATTGTTAAGCTTAATGATATATAATGTTAGATAGAGGTGGAAGCTTCACCTCACTGCCTAACCAAGTTACATGACATTGTACATTTCTACCTGTTGTACTATACTTGCTATCTTTTTTAATGTGACATTTTAACGTAAAAGATCATCAGAGTGACGAAAGATAATAAGTTCAAATGTCTATTTATTACTATTGTCACTGTTGTGAAATCACTGTTAAACCACTTTCAAAAGAAATTTTCCTTAAAATTCACATGTTGCAATGCATTTTACGAAATTATGGATGTTTCAAAATTTGATTATTTGACAATAGAATTAAAGAAAACAAAAACAACAGATCTTCACATTACAAAGCCTACACTTCGTCAATCATATCAAAGTGTCAAAATAAAGCCTATGAATAGCTTGACAGGAGAAGGTACTCTAAGCCATGAAAACTCCATACATGCCATATCAAACGATTTATTTTGGCGTGAGACTCACGAAAAATAGCCTTCCAAAATGTCTCACGGCGTGGGACCCATTTTTCACGCTTTTTATTTCAAATATTAAATCCTTCTCAACATTTTCTATACAGAAGGGAGATATTTTATGTCCGATATACTCCGAGTGGAACTCTTCTTTGCAATTATAACTGCTACAATGTACAGGGTACCCTTAACTTTAAAAGGTATGACATTCTGAAAGTGATGATATGTTGTCTGTCGAGTAGCTCAGCTTGATATACACTCAAAATTGCAATCCGATAATCAATTCTTACTCTGTAAGCCCTGTGGCTGAGGACCCAACTGTATGGCAGTCTGATGCATGTAGTCCCACGGTAGTCTGAAATCTTCATTTTTAGCTCTCCTGGTCCAAAGGACCAGGGTGAGCTTATGCCATACCGCAGCGTCAGTCGTCCGTCCATCAACTTTTCTTTAAAACGCTACTAGTCCTGAACGGCCAAGTCGATTTTGACTAAATTTGGTCTGGAGCATCCCTAGGCCAAGGGGACTCAATTTTGTATAAATGGTGTCGGTCGTCTTTTTTCTCACCTTCCCCCCCCCAGGGGCATAGGGGTGGGCTCTGTTTGAAATTTGTTATATCTCTAGTACTGGATGGATTTCTCTGAAATTTCATATGTACTTACAGCACCTACCATGGAGTGCTATATCGTTATTTCATACCAATTATTTTAAACACCTACGATGGAGTGCTATATCTTTATTTCATACCAATTATTTTAAACATGTTCAGGTGAGCGATACAGGCCCTCTGGGCCTCTTGTTGCTATGGGGTCTTGAGATAATTTGGCCTTTAGGAATACTGCCTAGGCACCAATACAATTGCAGGTCATTGTTTGCAGTGTTTAAGTAGTCAAACAGTTATATAAGGATCGCACGGTATTTTAAGCCCACCATCATCTGATGGTGGGCTATTCAAATCACCCTGCGTCCGTGGTCCGTGGTCCGTCCGTGGTCCGTCGTCCGTCCGTAAACAATTCTTGTTATCGCTATTTCTCTAGAAGTACAAGATTGATCTTTCTCAAATCATATATGCAGGTTCGCCTTGGTCCTAAGCTGTGCAGGGCAACTTTTGAGTCTGATCGGATAAACAACATGGCCGACAGGCAGCCATCTTTGATTTTGATATTGAAAGTTTGTTATTGCTATTTCTCAGGAAGTGTCAGAGGGATCTTTCTCAAATTTTATATGTAGGTTCCCCTTGGTCCTTAGCTGTGCAGGGCATTTTTTTGAGACTGATCGGATAAACAACATGGCCGACAGGCAGCCATCTTTGATTTTGATATTGAAAGTTTGTTATTGCTATTTCTCCGGAAGTATCAGATGGATCTTTCTCAAATTTTATATGTAGGTTCCCATTGGTCCTTAGTTGTGCAGGGCAACTTTTGAGACTGATCGGATAAACAACATGGCCGCCAGGCAGCCATCTTGGATTTTGACATTGAAAGTTTGTTATCGCTATTTATCGGGAAGTGTCAGATGGATATTTCTAAAATTTTATATGTAGGTTCCCCTTGGTCCTTAGTTGTGCAGCGCAACTTTTGAGATTGATCGGATAAACAACATGGCCGCCAGGCAGCCATCTTGGATTTTGATATTGAAAGTTTGTTATCGCTATTTCTCGGGAAGTGTCAGATGGATATTTCTCAAATTTTATATGTAGGTTCCCCTTGGTCCTAGCTGTGCAGGGCAATTTTAGAGACTGATCGGATAAACAACATGGCCGACAGGCAGCCATCTTGGATGTTGATATTGAAAGTTTGTTATCGCTGTTTCTCAAGAAGTACTAGAGGGATCTTTCTCAAATTTTAAATGTAGGTTCCCCTTGATCCCTCGTTTTGTATGTTATATTTTGAGACTGATCATAAAAACAAAATGGATTAAAAAAAGAACTAAACAGATCTTTCTCATATTGCAGTGATCGATTCTATTTCTTTCACATTAAGTACTGTACTAGTAAATATGTGAAATGACAAACTCACTTTGAAGGTTGGCTTTCATACACATCCGTATTAAGTTTAGATCAAAAGTTACCTCAAGGTGCATTTACTGTTAACATGACTCGATCAAACAGATTAGAGGAAAGAAGAGAAAAAATCGAACTGACAAAGAACTAATGAAGATGGTACAAAGGTGGGCGCCAAGATCCCTCTGGGATCTCTTGTCCATGTTTATACCAGCATGAACATTGATTTTTTTAAGACATATCCACTGCAAGTTCCTCTATACGCAGAACCATAAGAAATTGGGTTCATATGGCTATGAAAGCAATTAGATCAGCGTCATTTTGAAGTTTCTCTTCGCGCCTCGATTAACACGAGACCACCATCAGAAGCTACGTTTTTGTGACGTTAGGCTGTTCCGGGAATCTAGTTTACAATGACGACACAGACACTTCAATATCGAAAATATAAGGGAATGTCTTTGCTAAGGTCAACAGAAACTAAACATTTAGAATGGCAATATGAGGATTGAACGGTATTATTTCAATGTTAATGCCAGTATGAACGTAAACCGGTTACATCCATATTTACCATGAAAGCCTTTGCTTTATGGAATATGTAGGTATAATTTACGTTCATACTAACATGAAAATACAAAAAAAATGCTATTCAATCCTTATATGTTTACATTCTAAGTTTTCTAGTTGTTATTGATCAAAGTATATACAAGTATTCCCTTTGCCTTTGTCGTCAGTGCAAATGATATTCCTGGACCAGCCTAACGTCACCAACATGTTTGCTTCTAATTGTTCTCTCACGATATTCAGACGGGAGGAGAAACTTCAAAATGATATTAATCAAAATGCGTTCATAGCCGTACGCGTATGACCGCAACTTTATTCTGGTAAAGTTTAAAGATAACTTTCAGTGAAAATGTATATAACTTATGACAGTGTCTAAAACCAACTCGTCCACACAAAACATGTCGATGACGAAATATAAATTATACGATGCACCAAGAGTTCTAAACTCGATTCTGTAGAGAAATGATGTGGGAAATCTTTTCTCAGAGTTAATAAAACCAATGCATTTGTTCATTCAATCGTTCATTTATTCAGACAAGGCATTGATCACAATCATACAGTTGCACAATTATAATGTATAGGTGTATCCGTGTCATTGTTATGGAGACAACAATACAACATAAAACCGGCATTCTGATGAATTTATCGTTTATAATTTGTTTTTAATGCTTGAATACAAACGTCGTTTATTTATCATAATGCAAGGTGGATGAAGTTAAACTAAAATTTCAGGCAATGCATCACCTGGTTTACAATTGGCTCTTAGCATACATAGACAACGCCAAGTACTTATCACACTCCACATTTCTGTCAACTTGTGGTTTTTGGCGACAACTCCGTGGACAATTATCTTACTTTCTTATTAACCAGGACCCGTATTCCTGAATATGTTCTCATACTCAAATAGGGATTTTGTGCTCAAGCCAAATTTCTTTTTCTGTTTATAAATTACTAATAAAATCTTATTTTGTCAATGATTTATAGCGGAATTTGAAGAGAATTTAAAGCCGAATACTTTTTTTTATCTTTTGATATGATTTGAGCGAGTTACAAGAAAATTGGTTTGAGCACAGAATACATTCTTGAACATGAGAATGATTTCATGAATACGGGCCCTGATTTTACATTTGAACCCCGGTAGTGCTAAAGTGTCGTCCCTCTCTGATTGAGATCTACATGTAAATTGCATTCACTGTTTTCTCTTAACAACCACGAAAAGGAACTTGGAAACGACGGAAGTTATGTACATCTAGTTTTAATAAAGTATTGACAAAAAATGCAAATATACAAGGCATATAAAATCATACAGCAGAAACTAGTTTGTAGATTGTAATGTTTAAGTTATAGGCGTCGGAACAAAATGGGTACTGCAAAGGTTGTACGGAATTGGGGAGGGAAACAGGAGAGAGTGCAATACGAACTATATACACGGGGCTGTTATGTACAATGGATACGTAGTAGATTAGATAGTTGCACACATTTGGGATGAGATGGAGAATCGAGGTAAGAATAGGGAGTGAAATATCATTCTATTACTGGAAAGTGACGTCTTTCGATTGTTTTTCATTGTTACGTCACTGAAAATTCACAAGGTCATTTATTTCTCTGGGCTAGAACAAGGACATTCCAGATCAGGAAAATCATGCTCAGGGGTAATATAAACAATACATTGAGGGGAATCGAAACTGAAAGGCCACGATATAACAAAACACAAGTAAAAGGAGGCGGGACTAATCACGTATGTACAATGTACAACAAGTACAGGGACGAAACAAAGGCAGCAAAGCATGCTGGTCAGACGGACTTTTTATGCTAATCAAACCATTTTAAAACGTAAGTTATAACCACATGGTAACTCATGCTCAGCGGTTGTGGAACATTGGATCATTTATCAAATGAATTCAAGTATAGAGTCCGTTTCCGGCATTTTTTTCGAGAAACTGACATACAATTAGTAAGAGTAATAGTGAAAGTATCGTTTGGCGCGTTTAACCCCGAGATAGAGGTTCTAGGCGCAAATTTCTATATGTAACACATTAAAACATACTTCGGTCAAACTTATTCACATTGCCAACCATTAAAGCATGAATGTCAATGAAGAAGATAGCTTATCATTATCTTGAAAATTAAAGAAGCTGCACTTATATACGAACTTCTGCAATCAAAACAACTTCAATAGTTTCATTTTTTTTTTAGTTTCATAAATTTTAAAGTATCAAGATGACAGATATTCATCATCTGATTTGTCATCGTCCTCGTCAGCATCAGCATACTTGTATCGTGCTAAATCATCGCTCTCCTCCTCTTCCAGAATAGCGCCTAAGTTACCGTCTCCAAGGTCGGCGTGGATTTCTGTAGATACATCCTCCTTATGTTTTGTGTCTGAAGAGGCTGTACCGTCTGTTGATTCAATCTCGTCTTCGTTTCCGGATGTTGAACTATGTGTGGTGTGGAAGTAGTTTTCCATTTCATCCTCTGACGTCATTTCTTGCATAACTGAAGTTTCTTCCGGCCCTGTTGTTTCGTCTGTGACGTCATGGAATGTGCCGGATTCTGACGGCGGGGAGTCGTACGGTATGGTGTGCAAGGAAACTGTGAGTGGAGGACTTGGTGTCTTACGGCTGGTACTAGCAGTTTCGTCATACGTCTTGTCCTTGGCGGGGCCGTGTTTCATATCGTACAATTCTTTTGCGCTGTTACGGATGTTAGTCGTATAAACTACGTCATGGAAGCCTTCAAAGTCGACTTCCCATCTTCCGTTTCCGCTGTCGAACTCTTCTAGCCTGTCAAAGCGGTGTCCCCAGAGTAATTCCGACGGCAGATATGAGGTGCGGGCCTGGCAGTACTCTCCAGTAGATTCTATGGTACCTTCAACATATATGATAAGTTCATACTTGTCGGTCATGAGGTCAGCAGGTTTGATGGTCCAAAAAGGGCTGTCGGACGTGATTTTATGAGACAGGATCAGTGGCCACATCAGCACAACCTTTTCCCCCATCCCTTGCGCATGGAACTCCATGTCGTGTAGATACAGCGGGTACTGCACGCCCTCTGCGGTCACGTGTTTCTTTGCGAGAACTCCATGAACCCGGGCGTCCAGCAGGTGGCTCTGACGCATATCTCCTAGGCGGATCTGTGGAGTACAGATTCAGTTTAATCACAAAACGCGTTTACGATATGCAATATTTATGTCAAACATGAATTGTGAATAAATAGTGTCGATATCTAACATGTTTTTGGTATGCATGGTTGAAGAACAAGTACTGGAGTGCATAAGTTAGATTATAGAGATATTTTTGTAGATACTTCACATGTTGTGATTTTATCTTAACGAAACAAAGTACACCTATTATACTGTCTAGTTTTTGTTGAACTTGAAACCCATTCAGAAACATGAAATTATAGTTAACACTCTACATGATTGATAATTTGTAATGATGTTTACCTGCAGACAAAGGTTGCCATTTTCCTGGTTGACAACGGCGTTCTTACTGAAGACAATGGTTTTCTGTCGGCGCTTTGGCTGGGCGAACTTGACAAAGACGAAGCCCAATAACAGGTTCTCCATCAATATCCCGCAGGTGATCTGGATGAACAACAGCACGAGCGTACTGGTACAGTCCGCGTTAAGGTAGGCGTATCCATACCCAATGGTCGTCTGCGTCTCTATGGAGAAGATGAGCGTACCGGCGAATGTGTAGACCCCGGTAAGGCACGGCTTCCAGTCGGGGTCGTTGAGGTGGTCGAAGTCGCCATTGCTGGCCATGATCCAGTACCAACACACTCCGAAGAAGAAGAAGGTGATCAGGTACATGTTGAATACGATGGCGAGGAGATATCGCCATTGTAGGTCGACGAGAGTGATGTAGAGGTCCCGTAGGAAAAACCCTCGGAACTGCTTTAGTCCTAGAATATACAAGGGTTAAAATCAAATAATGTCATTTTTAAAGTTACAATTTAAAAAGGACTAGGGGCGTTAAGGGTCAGTTCCGGCCTCATCGGGAATTTAAAATTAGTTGTTATATTCGTAATCTTGAATAAACGAAGTACGCAAATATGGAATTTCAAATTCATTCGACAACTGGTTTAGGAGATATGGCATTGCGAAGAGAGGCATAAACGCGCATTTTCATGATAAAATGTGTGAATATCGTCTGTTGTGCGCTATTTGGTTGAGAATTGGCCATTTTGAAGGAAATTAACTAAACGCTCTTCAATTTTTGAAAGCCTCCGCATGCCACAAACAAATAAATAAACATTGTTATACCAGTGTTCATTCGTAGAAAGGATTTTTTGTTTGTCACATGCCGAGGCTTTCATTTCTGCATGTTAACTGTCCAAAAACACCATTTTTTTTCTATTTCTGCATAGCAACGCAGTTCGTTGCTATAGTGGGGCATCTACGCATCCGCAATGGACAAAATATACACATAGAAAAATAGCCCCAGTTAACCAATATGATGTTTTTAACAGAATATGGCAAATAAATTCAAGTTGAAATTTTCAAACATGACCCATTACGCCTCAAGTCCCTTAAGACCATACGAATTAAAACATATTGTGGTTCAACCCCATCCAAAAATCGTTAGCCTACCAACCTTCATTAAAAACTACAGTGTATTTTCTATTATCTGGTGATCTCCGTAACAAGAAACCAAGTCTGCCAAAAAAACATGCAACCTGTATGTGAGGGAGAATCCACTATTATATAGAATTTATATTCTCTGTACACGAGAAGGAACTGACTGTTAAGTTTAACTAGGTACAATGATAACCAGTGTAAATCGCCGGAGTATTATTTCTCACGGAAGGAGTTTGTGGACAATAATCATGTAACTCGCCCTTTAAACCAAGACACTGCACGGACTTCAGGTTAAGTGTGAGAATGATAAAGAACTTCATACCATAATGTATAGAATATAAAGAGTTTAGGCGTCAGGTGACGACATCTGAAGATCTATATTTAACCTGTATGCAATGTCCAGGTCAATAAGCTCGTGTTTTTCCCTTAAGTTAAGTTCGTCTGTAATTATGTAATAGAATAAAGAATTGTTTTAGATCTATCAGAACAGTTCTCCTGAATATGATCACTCAAGTGGTTTCTATTATTTTTTTACAAAAGTTGCCAAAATATTAGCGATTTATTCTGACATGTTAATTATGCTATCCCGACTACTTGCTTTTGGAAACTTATACAAACCTCTCTTTTAGTGGTAAAAGTTAAAATTTTATCTGGTGTCAATTGTAGATTTAACAAAAGATGTAACTACATTGTAATTTTATATCATATGGTCGCAGACGAATGTTTTTGACCTTATATGTGTACAAAATAAGACGAAAATTGAAATGTCACTTTTCTTGCAAACAAAACAATTACATATATGTAATGTTTTAAACCTTTATAAACGAAACTGATTGACAATGCCACTAATCAATATTTTTGACATACTGACGCATAGTAATTATTATTTGTAATTAACCTCACTTGGAGTAAAAAGGGCGCTGGAAGTAATAAAATACTAACGATAGAGCAAACTACAGAATAAAGCAATATGAAATTGTTCTTTTCGAACCAAAATGCTTTCTGTTGTCGTTATGGTCAAATGAACACAGGATACCTTTATAACTGTGCTGTCGTCAGTATGGTCAAATAAATACCGGATATCTATGTTAACCGTTCTTTTGTCACCATTGTCAAATGACCACTGGATACCTATATATCTGCACTGTCATCTATATGGTCAAATAAATACCGGATACATAACGGCACTGTTGCCACTATGCTCAGATAAATCCTGATACCTGTAATGATACTGCCTTAAGCTTATTTGGTCTGATATGGCAATTGTTTTTATTCACAACCACAAAGATTAAAAAGAAGTATTGCATTGTTCCATATTACCCTGAAAGTTATTTTGGAAATACTAAACCAATGTTAAACTATATTCGGCAATTTCTGCCTTTTAAATTGAAAATCTCCATTTCCTGGTGTCCTTTTTACACAGGTAAAATGATGAGCATATTAAGATTCAAGTTTATGAAATAATGCTTTTTTGTTCAACAATATACCACAATTAATACGTTAAGGACAAAGCAAAGTAGTGGATTAACATTATGTTTAAATTGGCGTTTTAATCGTAATACAGAGAACAGTGAAGAAATAATCAAAATGGATTTCTGTTGTTTTTCGGTAATTATTCGCTGTTTTAAAGTGTTGTGGTGGTATTTCCGGCACCGCAGAAACTATCTACTTTCAATCAATACCAACAATAGATCCAATTTCAGAGAAAATGAGTAAATTAAAGCCATAACAAAAACCGTTTTCAGTCAACTCATGTCCAAGGTACGTAGCTGTCGTAAAGCTAACCTTCAGCCGAGCTTTTGTACCATTAACTTAAATACAGGTGCTGTATTGGTTTACGAATTAACAGTGCAAATCGGGATGCTGATAAATTCTATGAAACATTTTGCGGAATTTTATCCATTCGCCATCCACACAATGAAATCGGAGGGGCAATGGTACAGATACAAATGTCTATTACATAGATGATGATATTGCCTCATTTAGTGTTTATTGTTCACTTATTATTTAGACATTTTAAACTAGGAAAAAAGGAAAACTTGAAAAATAATTTGAATTGCCGATAATGTGCTGAAACCCACGTTTACGTGTACTTCTTACAAATATGGTTGAATGAAAACGCATCTTTTATTTCGTAAGTATGGTAATTCTTTTCTCGCGTGTAAGTTTCAATTTCTTTTAATATGTTATCTTTTGGTATTAAACCATTTTCAACATTTGACAATATTTATAACTTACCTGTGTACTTGACGCGGTAATGTCCCGATTTCTTTACCAGCGCGCTCCTCTTATCTTCCGGGTCGTATTGTCCGATTTTAAGTTTTCGTTTGACGTACTGCAATATAGGGTAGCGACTTTCCACAGTAGGTTTGGCGTCCTTATACATATAGAACGTTCCGAACTCCTGGCCTGCCGTCGTCATCGTTAGATAAAATTGTCTTTAGTAAATGATAAAATTTCACGTATGTCTAATATATAGCTAAGTATCTATGTTAGGTACAACACCATCTCTGGTCTCACAAGAGGTGTGGTCTGGTCAAAGTAAAATCAATCAATAAATACATTTCTTTGCAGTCCCGGGTCCATTCAAGTATCATTTGGTAATTGATCAAGCGTGAAATTTAATGTAGCCCCTTGGTTATTTTTTAATGATTGGAATACCCCGGGGGTAATTTATGTTACCGGTACTGTATGACACTACCCATACAGTACGATAATATATGTAGTCATGATACTAATTTAGTATATACTGTCAAAGAAATAATATAAGATTAATTGTTATATACAATAATGTTATTAATATTGGTTTACTATGTTAGACAATTCCCCTCGTGTTCCCCAGAACTTAGTTACTGTGTAACGAGTTTGACTGTAAACGATGATAAATGTATGTACATGCTGACATGACAAAGTGAATCAATGAGCTGTTAAATGAAGGATTGTATCAGTAACGCACTCGATTTATTTATCACTGCCACTCACAGCTAACATTTACTTTGTTCTATCTGTCCAAATTTTAACTGTCAACAAAAAACTACAAAGAAAAACTTTGTCCTTATCTGTTAGATCGAACATCTCTGGCGCAACAGGATATCAGAGCAATATCTTCGTCTCGTTACATTTATCAATATATCGGGAATTTGTCAGGATCCATGTCATATAGTAATCTGTATCATTACATATGTCATACTTTGATACGCTTGTAATGGGTCCCTTCCATGACCTGGAAAATAGGACGGCAGGGTATACTGTTGTAATTATTATTACTAGTACATGTCTTGGCAGTCCATTGTACATTTATCAATTGTCTTTTCTATTCTAGTCATTTTAAAGTTATTTTGTTCTAGTCATAAATTATTCAAGTTATTATTTTTAAAATAAATCCTTTATTTTAATCAAAGTATAATGCAAGCAATGTATATGCATTTTAATAGAGTAAAATCCCAATAATTTGCAATGATTCATACGTCGTATTTCTGTCATACCTTGGTACGTAAATGTATTAGCATATCTGTATTAAAAACAGTAGTATGAAGGAAAAGCAAATTAAAACAAAGTATTATAAAAGGTAGGTTAAATATACCTGCAGCAGAATACACAAAGACAAGCTGACGGCAGGCATGTTTAAGTTTTTAATAGGTTAAAACTGATTAAGTATTCGCAAGATGTTATTTTTATGAAAATATATTTGCCATATTTTCTTGATCACTCAACATAGAATTGCAGACACCGCCATTATGAGAAAACTTCAATATCAATATAATAATAATAATCAGTATTTTCAATAGACATAATTGGTTTTGTGCTAGATACATTCGATATATTTGTAATATGTTAGAAGTACAAAAGATGTTCTGACAAGTTACAACAAGGCACACTGTGTACAAAGTAAATACAATCTGTACATAGTATTTCCACAGAGTAACAACAGCATTAAAAGAAGTGTTGTATCATTGCGAGGGAAGGATACACTGACATATGTTAATGTAGTTTTAATTTTATGATATTTAATGTGATTCTAATTTTATAATGCTCCATTTCTTTGATTTATAGTTGTATGATATATATATCACTTTGATTTATAGTTGTATGATATATATATAGCACTTTGTTTTTCAGTTGTATGATATATATATAGCACTTTGTTTTTTAGTTGTATGATATATATAGCACTTGGATTTTTAGTTGTATGATATATATATATAGCACTTGGATTTATATAGTTGTATGATATATATAGCACTTTGAGTTTTAGTTGTATGATATATATAGCACTTTGATTTATAGTTATATGATATATATAGCACTTTGATTTATATCTGTATGATATATATAGCACTTTGATTTTTGAAAACAACAGACAATAAATCCGATTCAAGCTAGTATATCAGTGAATTACAAGGTAAACAACTCTATGTATCATTGGATAATTTATTAGCCTATATTTCATCCATTCCAATATCATGTTTAAATCATCTTAATTTTGACAGCTTTAATTATCATCGGCTGCTTACAAACTTATATTCGTTGATGGAGCATGTATTGGCAACGCATCAGCAACGAATTTCAGAATCAGTTTTATTGAATCAGTTAAAAGTAAATCTGGGAGATCGTTTATGAATTAATTTTAAAACTGTACCTAAACGCAAGGTTTCCTCATTTTAAGACATTAATTTAACCAGGCTATTACTTAAAATATGCACAATGTCACATGAAATATGGCAATTATGTATCTTTTATTTTGTAAATACTCACATGTATATGATAACATCAACATTGCTTGTACTTGACATACATGGAAGTATTTAATATTAATGATTAAATCGTGAAAGTGAATTGAGTATTGTACGTAATGTAGTTACATCATGTGACGTTTAATGAGTGCAGCAGACATCAATATAGATCTCTGATATATACAGGGATCTTATCGGTTGATCGGGAAATTACTGATATGATGTACACACGTATTCTATTTAATGACACAGTTGTCAACATAGCAACATATTGGTTGCCATACATATATACTAGTGTACATATTTCAGTTACTGTACATGTAGTTAGCCTGCAAATCGCCAAACGTAATATCGGACTATATACCTCCTTACGATACCACATCGTCAATGCTGGGGTGGTCAGACCAGGCAGACATTGTATGACTTAACATCAACTCTGTACAAACTATAGGATATAAGGACGGGGAACAGAGATAGGGGTTGGCATGAATATATAGTTATGAAATATATTTGTTAACGATTGCTGTTTAATGTGGTTTATTGTCTGCATATCTCTTTGTTTGAAATTCAAAGTTTGAAATATATGCTGAAACATTCGTCAATAACTTTTTAGCAATTTATGCATATCTATTTATATGAAAAAAGGATAAAATCACGAAAATATCATATCTCAAAGATTTAATCTTAATATCATATTTTCGTTATTTGATGTATCTTACATGGCCATTAATTTAAATTGGTATGTGTAAATATGTATAATATCTACATATATTGCATGTATATATAGTACAATTATTCACAACTTTGCATAAAATCGATTCTAAACCAAAATAAGTTCCATTTTGTTCTATTGATACTAGGCGTTATTGAACACAGATTTAATATCCAGTGTGGCACTTTTGTGTTCCTAACAATAAAAAAGGTTCGAGAAATCATGCTAAAAATAACATTTGCTTTTAAATTACCTAAAATGAGTACTGGAAATTAACTTTGTCATTATGACCTCCGCTTATCTCATACATGTACGTTATTTCAACGGTATGTCTCATATAATGTTTTACTGGATAGACCTATTTACAAACGAATCAATTTTGTTTTAAACTACTATAAAATGCATTTACACAATGATTTAAGCTCAGCAAATCTAGTACCACACTTAAGATTTCAATTAATAAAAAATAAATTGTTGCCATTGCTGTCTTGTAATTGTTTAAATAGATGTTAGTAGAAGGCGATGAAATGTCTCATAAACATGTGTCTCATTTCCCCTCGCTTTGCGTTTGGCAATACTGTATAGAGATACATTTTTGTCCAGTCAAACGTTCGCCTTCGCCAGAATAACCCATATTCGCTCAGTGTTTAATTCGCCCTTCACATTTAATTACTATGCATATTATGGTGTTCACTAATGTTCGTTATAAGGATAAATCCGCCTTCACTACGGCAAACGAAAATGGCGAAAATTAAACTGCGGTGAACATTTCCTGGTATACAGTAATCATATCACATTAATACCTGTATTGAATTAAATATATACTATATATATCACTATGGCGATTAAATACTGCGGTTAAATACTGCGGACGAATATTCCTTTATTCTCGTGAACATTGCTAAATATGCTAGATCCATCAGTTGTTATGTTAGAAATATTTTGACGAAAAGTTGTTATTGTTTTAGCAAACAATATTATGTTTCTGTAAAGTGTATCTGGGAATGTAAAATGATATATAAACAATATTTCGACAACAAACATATATGTTTTGTTTATTATTTGTACAATGTTTAATATTTTGCATCACTATTTTGTGAAATACATGTACATCTCTACGAAGTTTAAAAAAAACAAAACAGGTGATTTCATAGGAATAAATCGAGATAATGCAACATGGATTTATGCATATCCTATCACCTGCATATGCTTTAATATTGTTAATATTAATATTGTATTATTTACTTGTTATCAATATAATGCATGCAGACATGGTGTTTTAAGTTCAAAATATAAGTTAAAGAAAATTAAAACGATACTCTTAGATATTGCCTGAATAAACACGCTACTTGTTCTCCTCTCTCTGCACAAAATTATATTTTTCAAAACTGAGACTTACATTTAATATTTTATTTTTTGGACCAAATATTAAGAAACAAAACAAAAACAAATGGCAGTAGCATCACTATTGGTAGAAAGGATACTTGAAAAGAATTAGGTGATGCTCACATAACTACTAATCATATAACTACATTGTATATAAAATTCCTACAGTTTCTGAAACAAATCAATGTGTATATCAAAGTAGTATTAAAAATATAATATTTTTCGTATTTATGTATTATAAAGTATCATAATTATATGCGTCTCCTTGAAAAAAAGTGTCAAAAATCAATATTTTTACGTAAATATCAGCGGTTGCACACATCGGACACATGTTTCTGATGGACGAGATGAAGCACTAAAACTTTGACATTCTGACATCATCTTACGTCGAGTGTGGTAAGCTACTCGTTCACAGTGCTATAACACGTGTCCGGAGAGAGGAACACGCCCAAAGCTTGAGCAACAAGCTGACCATAGTCAGTAATCGGTCTTATCCTGACAGCACCAGTCACAACATCACTTTATGGTTTCCTGTCCAGAATAGCATAAATATAATGTATGTCAATGTTCAAAGGAACTGATTTCCGACCCATAATAAGACTGGTTTCAAATTGATTTACACACTCAAGGATGGTGTACGTATGTAATATTGTGTACCCATAACACATATATACGATCAAGATTATTCCTCTGGCATATCAAACCTACAAAATATGTAACAACAATTTTAGTAACCAACTGATACAATGTA